ATTAATGGAAGGAAAGACTTAGGATATCTGTGGTTCTGAGTTAAATCTATTTCTAATTAAACATACGTCTGTGGTTCTTATTAGAAGAGAAATTTGTGAGGTCAGCTATTTGGACTAATGAGTAAAACCATTACATTGAGAATGAAAAGTGTTGGTTCTGCAAGATGTCTATTCTGACCTTGGTTTTTCAGATTGCGCATATGATACTTAAAGGTCATTAGCAGTTCCTGAGACATGTTAGTTATTCACACAGTGTTTGTTATAGAGAGGCCCCTATCCTATAGTTATAGCTTCCTGTTTTCTGAGGGGATTTTTCTTTTTTTAAGAAAAAAGGGGAGAAAATGTAGTCATGAAAATAGAATAGCTGAGGCTGTGGGATACAGTGAAGCATACCAGTTCTCAGGGCATTACGCCTTACATGTGAACGTTTCTGGCAGGTGGCCGACCAGCAGTCCGCCATGTTTGGAGAGTGCTGCTTCCATGCCGGAGATGTGAAATTGACCATGGGAACCGGGACTTTTTTGGATATTAATACTGGGAACCACCCTGAACAAACTATTGGAGGTAAATACACATAAAATGGAAATTGTGTACTAATAAAACATTACTTCCTCTGTTTATGTTTAACTTTTGTAACACTTAGACCGTTTTTATTTTTGTTTTATGTTAAGGATATTTTCTAACTTTTTATATTATTATTATTATTATTATTATTATTATTATTAGAGACCGCTAATCCCTATTTCCCATTTTCCTTTCAGTTAAATATCTATTTGGGGAAAGATTTTATTATTACAAGAAAATGAGAAAGATGTTGTTATAAAGAAATTCAGAAGGATTAGAGTATTTTTGTCTATGTGCTAAATATTTATCTATGGTGGTGGTGGTGGTGATATGCCTTGGAGTTGGTTCCAATTCATAGCGACCCTGTACAAGGTTTCCGAGGCTGTACAGGAGCAGAAAGCCTCCTATTTCTCCCGCAGAACAGCTGGTAATTTCGAACTGCTGACCTTGCGGTTCCAGCCTGATTTGTAACCACCATGCTACCAGAGCTCCTTAAATATTTATCTATAATATGAATGATATCTGTTTAAAATACCTTAAAGCACGAAAAAGTCCTCATTGTTGTGGATCTGGTTCCAATTCACAGTGACCCTCTTAGGACTCATAGGGCTTCCAAGACTTTAAATCTTTATGAAGGCAGACTGCTACACCTTTCTCCCATGGAGCAGCTGGTGTGTTCAAAAACCCAACATTTTCATTAGCACCTAAGTGCTTTAACCACTGCACCGCAGGGATCCTCATCTTATTGTTGATAAATGCCATCAAGTCAGTTCCAGCTTATAGCAGCACTGCATAGCGTTTCTGAGGAGTGACTTGTGGATTTGAACCTCCTACCTTATGGTTAAGCAGCTCTGGTAGCGTAGTGGTTACGAATCGGGCTGCGAACCTTAAGGTCAGCGGTTCGAAACTACCAGCCGCTCCGCGGGAGAAAGATGAGGCTTTCTACTCCCGTAAGGATTTACACCCTCGGAAACCCTGTACAGGGTCGCTATGGGTCGGAACCGACTCAACGGCACTTAACAACAACAACAACAACCTTATGGTTAGCAGTCCAGTGCTTATCCTACAGCACCAAACCAGACCTTATCTTACTAGGTTTCTTATTCTTTGTATCTTCTTTTTTTGTGAAATTTTTTTGTGGTAGTAACTCTCAACTTCGGTGCTGGTGGCTCTGTAGGATAAGTACTGGACTACTAATCTCAGGGATGGCAGTTGAAACCCACTAGCTGCGCCGAGGAACACAGATGAGGCTTTCTGTTCCTGTTAAGATTTACAGCCTTGGAAACCCTATATAGCGTTCTATGAATCGGACTCTATGTGGGGTTTGCTTGGTAAAGTGGAGGGTCGGAGAAAAAGAGGAAGACACCCAACAAGATGGATTGGCACACTGGTAGCAGCAATGAGCTCAAGGATGGCAACGATTACGTGGATGATGTAGTACCAGACAGTATTTCATTCTGTTGTGCAGAGGGTTTTTATGAGTTGGTTCCGATTCCATAGCACCTAACAACAACATGATTTGGAAACCACTCAATAACAACTACAACAACAACAATTCTTAACTAGTGACCGTGCATGTGTAGGCTTTTGAAAACAAGTACTAGGAATTTGCACTCTCTTAAGAAGGGTATCCTGGGATATACAAATCAAGAAAATCTTCTTGTGGAACTACCTCAGCAGAGCTAAGGAGTCTGAGACTGGGGGTCTGTTCTCCTAAGCTGGTTACTAAGAGCTGGTTTTTAACATCTTTAGTCCTTCTCCTGTCCTCCCTCAAGCTCTTCGCTAACTGGGACACCTGAAGTTAGACAATGGTGATTACTGTGTGAGGCTGTCTCTGTTTAGGGACATTGAGTAGAATGCTCAGATAAGTGCAGTAACATAGGAACTTCTCTACTCTAGCAAGCCAATCTCACTATAACCTTGTGTTTCCTAATTAAAATACTTATTTCTGTGTTTCTGTTGTGTTGTTAATTGCAGTCGAGTTATAGCAACCCATCCTGCATAGGGTTTCCGAGGGAAACCTTTGCGGGAACAGAAAGCCTCATCTTTCTCCCACAGAATGGCTGGTGGGCTTGAACTGCTTACCTTGTGCATACCTATACCAATAGGGATGCCTTATACAGTAAACACTGTGTGACTGTGTGGGTTAATGCACCAGACTGCAAAGCCGTTTGAATGCAAAGTCGGCAGTTCAAACGCACCAGCTGTTCCTCGGAAACCCTATACAGGTCGCTATGGGTTGGAATTGACTCGCTGGCACTTAACAACAGCAACATAGCTAGTAAAGTTTACTATTGATTGTTCATCGGATATGCCAGGCACTGTGCTAACTTCTTTGTATCTATTAACTACATTTATTCTAACAACTCTGTGAGTTAGACTGCTTTACAGTTGAGGAAACTGAGGCTAAGAGGTTAAGAACTTGCAAGACCTCAGCTAGTAAATGTGAGGGGGCTGGGATTTGAACTTCAACAGTCTGACTTCAGAGCTACCTTGCTGATTTTTAAGATAATCTAACTGTTGCATTGCATAAGTTTTTGTAGTAAATTATGTATTTACTATATGATTGCTTTAATTGTTTTTTTTAAAAGGTTTTTATCCATTGATTGGGTGGAAGATTGGACAAGAAATTGTTTGCTTGGCTGAAGGCAATGCAGGAGACACTGGAACCGCCATAAAATGGGCTCAACAGTTAAGTAAGTCCTTTTTTAAATGAGTCTCACAGGCCAGAACTTAAAAAATTGAAGAGTGCCGCAGAATTGCACATCAGTAGAATGAATGGCTTATTCAAAGAAGCATGAAAATAAAATGGGATGTACTAGAACATGTAGGATTAAAATAGAAAAATCGATTCTTATGATATTGATATGGTCAAAGGCTAGCTTTTAAAGCCAAGAACTGTAAAGAAAATTAAAATAGATTTTTGTAGATAAGATATTAAGTACAGGGTAAACACTGGACTGCACACCACAAGATTAGCAGTTCAAACTCACCAGCTGCTCCGCAGGACAAAGATGAGACTTTCTGTTCCTGCAGAGATTTAAAGCCTCAGAAACTTGCTATGAATTGGAACCAACTCGATGGCACTTAGCAGCAACAAAAAGAAGCAAAGTTAAAAAAAACAAATTAGTAAAACACAATATTCAGCATAAGTCATAAAATTAATAAAAAGGAGAAAAAAATGGTAGACCACAGATCGAAGTATTTCATAAAGACTCCAAATGTCAGCTATGAAATGTTACTCAAATCCAGTAACCAAAGAAATGCACATTTATATAATTACATTGCCTTTCATATTGTCAAAGATTAGCAAGTTTGATGATGCTCAATGTTGGTGGGAATGTAGAAAAGAAAGTATTTTTGTTTTCCAGTGGTATGAGTGTTAGTGTAACTTTTCTGGTGGACAGTCCGGCAATATGCATCATTTCAAAGATTGCTGGCTCTTTGCATCTCAGTTCAGTTCTTTGCAAAGAAAATAATTTATGCATTTGTTTAAAGATAGGTGCTTGTACATGGTTCCTTGGCTAATAATAAAGCATCAAGTAAATAAATGTCAGTGCATCCACACAGAGGAACAAACAGTGTAGTGCCTATCTTACTGACATAGAGCGGTGTCCATGATATATTAATGAAGCAATGAAACAGTTAACACAACAGCTGATAGGAACTTTTTGGGCCTTTTTAAAAACTACTTTATTGACATGTCATATAATTCACCCATTTAAAGTGTATAATTCAATTCATTGTTTTTTTGTGTGCTGACAGCATTGTGCAATCATCATGACAATCTAATTTGGGAACACTTTTATCTTCCCTGAAAGACACTCCATGCTCAATGGTCACTTTCCCTCTCCCCACTGGGGCTCCCAGCCCTAAGCTACCACACGGGTCTATTGTTAGCCTGTATGTATTCACCTCTCCTGGATAGTTCATGTGAATGGAATGATACAGGATGTGGGCTTTTAAGTTTGGCACCCCTCACTTAGCGTGCATAATGTTTTCAAGGTTCATCCATGTTGCTGCAAGTGGTCCTAGTGCATTTCCTGCTGAGTAATATGCCATACAGAATTTATCACAATTTATCCACTCATTGAGTTGCTGGACATTTGGGTAGTTTCACTTTTTGACTAGTTTGTATAATAAACAACCTGTAAACTCCCAGCTGTTCTGTGGGAGAAAGATGAGGCGTTCTGCTCCCGTAAAGATTTACAGCCTCGGAAACCCTGTACAGGGTCCCAAGAGTCAGAACCGACTCCACGGCACATGACAACAACAACAATAATGTACAACCATAGTTAATGTTGTTTGTTGTTGCTTAGTGCCATTGAGTCAGTTCTGGCTCATAGCGATCCTTTGTGTGGTTTCCAGGGAGCAGCAGTTAGCAGAACAGTGCTTATCCTATAGTGATATTTAATGTATAAAGTACTAAATGCCACATATGAAAGTGTCAATAGTGGCTATTACTGATGATTAAATTATGAGGCAGACTTTGACTTTTTACTCTGCTGTTCTGAACTAAGCTGATTTGTTTAAAGGCAAACAAATCTGTTGACAATCATCTGTGCTCCACAAGGAGCATGCAAGTCTGTTTCTTTCTCTCTGAGGCAGCGTCTGCTTTAAAAACCTGTTAACAAGCTATGTTTACTTCAAAGCTCCTTATCATTATACTTCAAAGTGTCCTCCTTCTTAAATATACGTTAAAGTCTTAGACACATCTCTTTAGACAACATTTGTTGTTATTAAATAGTGTTGTGTGTTAAACAATACTGTATTACTAGAAATTATAAATAAATATAAATCACGTTTCTTTTCTTTTACTTACACTTTGTATTGGTTTTACAGTGTCCAGAAAAGCAGAGAGAGCAGATTAGTTAATTTTGCATATATTAGTTAAAAAACAAAAGTCGTCAAGTTCCATATGACATCATGCACATATTAGCAGTGGAAATCATTTCCGTGACTTAACTGGATTAAGGCTCATTTGTTATAATTCTCAAAGATTGGAAACATTTCTGGGGATGGAGCTATTTATGGTCCTAACTTAGAAAAGCGAGGCTGTTGAGTAAAGGCACAAACCTCTCTTGAAGGCCGGTCCCTTCTCTGGAAGGAAAACAGGGCTATTGGCATAATAGGGTGACCCACTGTTTTTCTTAATGTTTCAGTCTGTGCCCATACTCATATGCATCTATCTGAAATTCACACAGAAAGTTAACATTTATTTCAGTGTATCTGATTCTGTTCTGAGGATTCAGTCTAATGTGCATATAGAAAAATTAACCTTTATTCAGGAGAAACATAGTAAATTTAAGCAACCTTCCTGTATCTTTGAGGATGTCCTTATGTCTTTGTGTAACAGTATGTATGGGCTTATTCCATTTTGAATGGTGGTTTCTTTCTGCTCCTTTGCTAGGTTGAACACCTCAGACATAGGCAAAAATCTACTTTAAACCAGTCTCATTCTGACTTTAGATTTGTTTTTCTTAATCTTTTTGACTCAGGCCAATTTCTTTCTTCTCTTTTTTCCCTTTTCCTCCTGTGTTAGCTGCCATATCTGGGTCTCTATGTGATCACCTTTCTTGTTTCTTTTTAACTTGGTCCATTTCTTTCCCCCTTCTCTCATCATTTCATTGTCCAGTCTCAGTCTTAAACATGTTTTGATATCTGCCAACTTTTATTCATTTGACAAGTGTTTGAGTGTCCAGTATATGCCTGAAACTGGACCACGTGCTTGGAGACGCCAGGGGGTAGGCACTGTTCCTTTGCTCATAGGAAAGCAGTCTAGTAGGAAAGACGGATCTGAATAATTTTTTTAGAGCATTAGTGTTAAGTGACAGAAAGGAGAAGTGATAGCAGGATCAATGGTTTCTATCTTAGTGGAGGACTGTGTCTAGTCAGAGAATTCGAAAACAAACAAACCAGTTGTCATGGAAGCAGTTCAGAATCCTAGTGCCCCATATGTACAGAGTAGAAGTGTGCTCCATTGGGTTTTCAAGGCTGAGACCTTGCCAACCTTGTCTTCTGGGTGGGTTTGAGCCACCAACCTTTTTCTTAGTAGTAGAACTTAGATTGTTTGAGCCGTTTCTTTCAAGGGTTCCTGAAAAATTGGAAGGCTCCTTTAAAGCAGCAGCCTTCCAGCTGAGCCCTGAAGGAAGAATAAGAGACAGTTGGTGAAGGAGTGTTCCAAGTAGGCCCAGTGAGGGAAGATCTCAGGTACAGCTGACAGTGGTCTATTCAGAGGACTGAAAGAATGCCTTATTTCTTTTCTACAGTTGGGGCAGCGCCCATCTCTTCTGTCTTCTAGTAACAAGGGTCAGGGGACATTTTTTCCTTGGCAAGATCACTTTTAATTGCTGCATGTCACACCTGCCTGCTCTAGGCAATCCCCACAAGACTTCCAGTGCACATTTCAAATTACCCAGCACCCTTGTTTACTAGAAATAAAGGAAACTGGTGCCTTCATTTTGGGTACCCTCCCAAGAGAGATGCAGTCTTTTCTCATTAAAGGAGATGACATAAATCTTAACGATGGACTGATTGTAGGTGGGGGTAGATGTTCTGATAATGAGTCAGCTTCAGAGAATAGAGGTAGTTCCTGGCCCTGTTTCCTCTACTTCCTTCTGGGATGATGTGTATTAGGTAAGTGCGACTCACTACGGATCCAGAGTAGAGTCTAAACACAGGTAAAACCTTGAGTTCTCAAGGAAACTGTGTAGACCTAGAATCCATGGAGGGCAGAGTTTGAGTTCTGTTGGTGAAAATGTTGGCAATAATAGGAGCTTGTAGATGTTCCCGAGGGGTCCTGTCTGTTAAGCTAAGAAAGACCCCTCAACTTATGGAGAAGAAAGAACTATCCCTGCTGGTCGTCACATGCAACCCCGGGAGAGCCCACTAGCAGCAGACCTCAGTACTGTTTGGGTGAACTGTTCTCTTCCCAAGCTGAGTGGTAAAATCCTCACATTACACATTCATACTTAGAGCTGACTAAGAGAACTTACACCATTACCTGTTGCTGCTGCTAACCCCAGAGGCTGAACTAGTAAAAGAGCACAAGGTGTTTAACAGCACAAGATCCCTGAGAGCATGGTGGACAAACTGAATAAACAATAGGAGGCTCCTGCAGAGACAGATGCAATAGAAGAAACAGAAGCTTAAACAGAAAACAGGTCCCAAAAAGACTATTAAAAACTCTTAAAGGGATGATAGAAACGGTTGCCCCTCTCCCCCCCAAAAAATGTTTGGAAATTATGAACACCTCAAATAACAGAAACTATGATAAATAAAAAGGAGAAGGGATAATACTAAAGAATTGAAAAATAAAAATAAAATGTAATTCAAACTGAAGGGTAAGAAATAAAGAGGAAAAGTCATCAATGAAATAAGCAGATGATAACGCCTTTCCTGGAACATTACTTTTCCAAAATGTGGACAGTTAATAAGTTAAAATATAATCGAAGAAAGAATTGAAAACAAACTTCCCCAAGCTGACAGAAAACCTGAGTTTTCAGACTGAAATGGCTCACCAAGTACCAGGCAGGACTTTAAAAAAAAAAAAGAAAGCCCAAGATCAGATAATTATATCCTGATGAATTGTCTGAATCCCAAGGATAAGTAAAGCGCCAAGACAGGAAGAACAGTTTATTTATAAAGGGGAAAAAAAAAAATCAGACTGGCATAGAAGTGAATTATAACATTTGGA